TTCCCTAAAACTTTCTAATTTAATCCTTCATCCTTTCTGGGGGGTTGGTTCTACCATCACCATTTTCACAAATGGGGAAACTGAAGTTGAGAGAGTTTCAGGTTTTCCAGGAATATGTATCTTTTACAGTTGTACAGCAGTTTTGTGAATCTAAGATCAATCTTTCTGCTTTACTTCAGCAGCCTCCACAATATTGTAGTAAGTGTCAAAGCAGGGATTTGGTGTGCATCCTTTATTGTGAGAGTGATGCAGCCAAGCTGAGTAATTCTCATTCCAAAGTCAATTAATGCAAACCACTTCCTGTACACTCTAATTAGCCTGCTATGAAATAGAAGAAAAGGGAAGAGGAGACCACTTCTTGATAACATACTTATGCTAGAACATTTAAGTAAAACAGTATCCACCTGTACCTATTAAAAGAAATTTAATATTATTTGATTTATCTAGATAGGTCTATTTTTCCTTTTTTTTTTTTTGTTTAGAAAGCGGACCTGGTGCTTATGAATCAGGCATTATGGTAAGCAAAGCTGTAGAAATATATATCCAAGGAAAACTTCTTAAACCTGCAGGTAAGCACATATATTGTACACATACACACAACCAAAATTAAATGTGACCTACTGTTTATATTATCAACTGGCACTGCTTATCAGGAAGGCTATCAGAAAGCTTCAACGAAAATAAAGTCAAATTTGAAAAATAAAATGAAACACAATTAGTTACGTATGAGATTGGGGATAAAATAAGAGTTGAGGAGTTTTCAAAGAAGTGTGTATCTTTATACACTCTTGACATAAATTTAGGGAGTCAGTTTCGTGTTGTATATGAAAATTCTAAATGCTGGATTGATCCAGCAATTCCACTCAGAAGTCTATCCTATAAAGCATTTCAAATATACAAAAGTAGATATGGGCAAAGATGTGAATATTTGTAATAATTTAAACATGAAAAGTTAAGTTTCCATCATTGGGGGAAAAGATAAATTGTGGCATATCTATACTATGTATCTGTTAAAAAGAATTAGGTAGGGATCTATTAAAAAAAACCTTATAATAAAACATACAGAATAATGAGTCTTTTGGTAAAAGAAATCAAGCAAATGAAAAAGTTCATAAAACTAAGCATCAGTGGGAATTAGAAGTGGGCTGGAATGAACAGATGCAGTAAAAGTTAAAAAAATTATAATTCAGTATTGTTTGAATTTTAGAAAAAATAGGCCAGATTGAGAAGGTAGATAAACTCCTGTCTGCTCTTGAGGGCAATTTCACCCCCCAGTGGTTGAACTGCATACATTCACTCGATCATTCACTCAGCAACTCATTCACTCCTTCCTTCATTCTCTCAATTGCTCATTTACTCATTCAATCTTATTCTCTCAATCAATCACTCATTCACGTGCCACCTACTCACCTACCTACTCATCCACTCATTTATCCACACTTCAGCAAGCTTTTCTTTTTTTTTCTTTTTTTAATTTTTTTTTAATGTCTTTATCAGAGTATAATGCTTTACAATGATGTGTTAGTTTCTGCTGTATAACAAAGTGAATCAGCTATACATGTACGTATATCCCCATATCTCCTCCCTTTTGCATCTCCCTCCCACCCTCGTTTTCCCACCCCTCTAGGTGGTCACAAAGCACCAAGCTGATCTCCGTGTGCTATGCGGCGGCTTCCCACTAGCTATTTTACATTTGGTAGTATATATACGTCCATGCCACTCTCTCACTTCGTCCCAGCTTACCCTTCCCCCTCCCCATGTCCTCAAGTCCAATCCCTACATCTGTATCTTTATTCTCGTCCTGCCGCTAGGTTCTTCAGAACCTTTTATTTTTAGATTCTATATATATGTGTTAGCATATGGTATTTGTTTTTCTCTTTCTGACTTACTCCACTCTGTATGACAGTCCATCCACCTCACTCCAAATAACTCAGTTTCGTTCCTTTTTATGGCTGAGTAATATTCCATTGTATATATGTGCCATATCTTCTTTATCCATTCATCTGTCTGTGGACACTTAGGTTGTTTCCATGTCCTGGCTATTGTAAATAGAGCAGCAGTGAACATTGTGGTACATGACTCTTTTTGAATTATGGTTTTCTCAGGGTATATGCCCAGTAGTGGGATTCCTGGGTCGTGTGGTAGTTCTATTTTTAGTTTTTTAAGGAACCTCCATACTGTTCTCCATAGTGGCTGTATCAATTTACATTCCCACCAACAGTGCAAGAGGGTTCCCTTTTCTCCACACCTTCTCCAGCATTTATTGTTTCTAGATTTTTTGATGATGGCCATTCTGACCAGTGTGAGGTGATACCTCATATAGTTTTGATTTGCATTTCTCTAATGATTAGTGATGTTGAGCACCCTTTCATGTGTTTGTTGGCAATCTGTATATCTTCTTTGGAGAAATGTCTATTTAGGTCTTCTGCCCACTTTTGGATTGGGTTGTTTCTTTTTTTGATATTGAGCTGCATGTGCTGCTTGTATATTTTGGAGATTAATCCTTTGTCAGTTGCTTCGTTTGCAAATATTTTCTCCCATTCTGAGGGTTGTCTTTTCATCTTGTTTATGGTTTCCTTTGCTGTGCGAAAGCTTTTAAGTTTCATTAGGTCCCATTTGTTTATTTTTGTTTTTATTTCCCTTTCTCTAGGAGGTGGGTCAGGAAGGATCTTGCTGTGATTTATGTCATGGAGTGTTCTGCCTAAGTTTTCCTCTAAGAGTTTTATAGTGTCTGGCCTTACATTTAGCTCTTTAATCCATTTTGAGTTTATTTTTGTGTATGGTGTTAGGGAGTGTTCTAATTTCATTCTTTTACATGTAGCTGTCCAGTTTTCCCAGCACCACTTATTGAAGAGGCTGTCTTTTCTCCATTGTGTATTCTCAGCAAACATTTCTTAAGCACCTACTGCATGCACTGGTCAGGTTAGGGAAGCCTCTTAAAACCCACCACCTTGAATGACCTCACATTTATAAAGCTGTTCCTGACACTCCTTTTTTTAAGCCTCCTTTATTAGTTAATTGACCAGGTTATAGTAAATAAATGTGTGTATAAACGAAGTTTATATAACAGTTTAAGAGCTATTAGCATTACTTTTTAATGAAAACCCCAAGAAATATATGTCTGTAATAAACATTATAAAATAGCATTAAATTGAATATAAATTACTTAAATTATCATACCCTAGAAATTATATTGTAGCTAATTAAATTTGCCACCTTTTAAATGAATTTGAATCAGCTTTTCAATGTATATCTGCAATTAAACAGATTTTTTTTTTTTTAATCTTAAGAAACTTACATTTGCCTGCTCAGGAATTTTTAAATGTGAGAGGAAAGGTAAATGAGAATTATAGCTACATTTTTGAAATGTATGTGTCAATTTTTCTTTACATGATTGTTTCAGTTGTTGGAATTAAAATTGATGTAAATTCCTGGATAGAGAATTTCACCAAAACATCAATCAGGGATCCGGTAAGATAACTTTTTAAAAAATTCTTATGCTACATTTACTGATCTTAGAAAGCAGTCTTATACAGTGACAAAATAAATTTTCAGTGCTACTACATTGAAGCAGAATTATTAATTACCATTTTTTCAAAGAATTTTTTGTTTAGTCAACTGATAAATAATAAAAGGAAAATATTTCAGTATTATAATTTAAAATACTAGTTTAAATATTTATTGGCTGATATTTTCTAATTTGTAAAGATAAAGCTATTGACTAGACTATCGTTTAATCTTTTATACTAATTATTATAAAATTTCTAATTACAATATGGTAATAATTAAAAGGATATAATTAAAATCCAACTAGAAAGATAATATGAGGTGATAACTGTATTTCTGTCTTTCAGTGTGCTGGTCCAGTTTGTGACTGTAAAAGAAACAGTGATGTAAGAAAACTCTTTAAAATGGAATTTTTAAGTACAATTTTTTGTGTTACTTTTCCTAAGACTCTAATGATAAAGAAAGATGCAGGAAGGTTTAGTCAAATGCTAAAAAGAGGGCTTCCCTGGTGGCGCAGTGGTTGAGAGTCCGCCTGCCGATGCAGGGGACATAGGTTCGTGCCCCGGTCCGGGAAGATCCCACATGCCGCGGAGTGGCTGGGCCCGTGAGCCATGGCCGCTGAGCCTGCGCGTCCGGAACCTGTGCTCCTGTGCTCTGCAACGGGAGAGGCCACAACAGTGAGAGGCCCGCGTACCCCAAAAAAAAAAAAAAAAAAATGCTAAAAAGATATTGTATGGAATTGTGAACTAATTCATAGATAAGAATTTGAATTATATGCTTTTAATTCCTAACCTTAAACATTAGAAGCATTTTAAAATATTCATTAAAAAGCCATATCAGTATAGACTGTATTTGCTTCAGTCTCAATTGTGTTAGATTCTTTTGTACATAAAAATACAAATTTGTTTCTGACCAGAGTTTCTAAACTGAAGCATATTTACTGATTATCATTGCAATCTTCCCTCATGTTTTGCACTTTATCTGAATTTTTCACACTGTGTTTATAGTGGTGAGAAAGGTTTTTTAACTAAACCTTGGTATTACATAGTTTTACTTGCCTGGATTGGATTTTACATTGTCTTCTATTACTTCCATTTCTGTTTGAGAAATTGAAAAAGCAAATGTCAACTTGCTTTGTTCCAAGCTGAAGATGCTGTAAGAATGATACTAGATAAATTATTCATATAATGAATAAGAATGACAAATTCCACTATTTTCTTTCAGTCCTCTTATGTATGTCTATATATTTCTAAAGGAAGCAGGGGTTTCATATCATTTTATTCACTTCTAGTCTTGTGAAATCATAAGCCAGTAATTTTAATTATTTTTGTAACATCCATTTTACATAGACTATGTATCAGCTGGTTTTAGAGCAAAGATTTTAGCAAGCTCCTTTCATATTAGAAAAATAGAATGCATTACGTCCCCAAATCTGAAAACAATGTTTTTGTGATTTTATACAATAAAAATTATTAAATTGAATCATGCATTTAAACATAATTTAAACTGGATGGGACTACTTTAGGATATATGATTATTTTTCCTCTGTCAGAGGCATTTTTTTTGTCTTGTTTCCTGCTTTTACATCTCAAATTATCCAATCAAATATTTTTAGTATAAAATAGTTATAAATAACCTCATGCTGCTGCTTTTTATTTTTAAGCCTGTGATGAATAGTGCCCCAAATGGATTTTTCTTAATGTCTTTCTTGTCAAAATTTTAAGTATGTGTTTAAAATAATAATTGTACATTATTAAATGTTTTGGTTTATCCAGTTTCCTGGTTCATTTAGATGACAGTGGGGTGGTGAAAAGATTATTTCTAGTTTGTTCTTATGTTTTTGTTCAGACTGAGTTGACTTTTTTTTTTTTTTTGGTCTACGTTGGGTCTTCATTGCTGCACGTGGGCTTTCTTTAGTTGCAGCCAGCAGGGGCTACTCTTCATTGTGGTGCAGTGGCTTCTCTTGTTGCGGAACACAGGCTCTACGTGCGCGGGCTTCAGTAGTTGCGGCGTGTGGGCTCAGTAGTTGTGGCTTCGTTGCTCCGCGGCATGTGGGATCTTCCCGGACCAGGGCTCAGACCTGTTTTCCCCTGCATTGGCGGGCGATTCTTAACCACTGCACCACCAGGCAAGTCCCTGAGTTGACTATTTTAACTGGACGGATTGTGGTGGAATTTCAAGCCTTGATGGTTTGACAGCAATCTATATGCATGCCCTTAATTTATTTCATCAGAATCTCCTTAGCATATATGTTCAAGAGAAGATACAGTTATCTAAGTTTTTCTCCTATTTTTATTGTTATAATCATCTATATAATGGAGTAATGATTATGTAACCTAACCTTCCTAAAAAAGTGTATTAACTGTTATTTTTGTTTTGCTAGGTAATGGATTGTGTGATTCTAGATGACGGTGGGTTTCTTTTGATGGCAAATCATGATGATTACACTAACCAGGTATGTACCTAAAGTGGCAAGGAGTAGGGTTTCCAAAGTGTGTTTCCCTGATGAACATTACAAAACTCCTTCACACCACTATAAAAACTGATAATTGAAGTTCTTAATGTAAATATAAACCATTAAGAAATGCATCCTAAAACTAGTTTTCCTTATATTTGTTAGCTGAGTTTACTTTCTGGTATGGTTACCATTAAAATATAGAGCTAAGGATTTTAACATCATATGAACTTTTTATTTTTGATCTCTCAGAAATTTAGAAAATTTTCACATATTAATCAGTTGATAATGTCAGTCCTAATACATAGCTGGTTTGAAACAGATGAAAATTCTAACCTGAAATTTGGAAATTGGCAACAGTTAGGCTCTTTGGTTTACACAGGATTTTAAACAAAGTAGAATTAATTGCCAACTAATTTCATTTCTGAATCTGTGTATCTGGCTTCTCTTTAAAAAAACAAACAAAAAAGATCTCTCAATACTGGACAGTTTTCCTAAATTACAATATTTATGGGTTGGAATTGGTGAGCTAGAGGTTGTCCCTATAGATGGGACTCACTCCAGTTCAGCACAGTCCCTACAAGTTTCTTTTTCTAGTTTCACCATTTCTTTTATTGGATTGTGACTTAAGGCTTAGTAAACTGTCCATTCCTTCCAAATAGCACAGGGAGCCATTCAGAAATGAGAATACCTAATCTCACTGGAGTTCTTTCAGAGTATCATATACTGGTTTATTACTTGCTTTTGTTTTCAGGCTCCTCAGTAGTTTTAGTTCTGTTTCTTTGTATCATTTCTTTTGTTTGTACTGGTTCACGTGTTAATATTTGGCTTACATTTGACACTTTATTATTTTTTTCTGTACCAGATTGGAAGATTTTTTGGAGAGATTGATCCAAGTTTGATGAGACACCTGGTTAATATATCAGTTTATGCTTATAATAAATCTTATGATTATCAGTCAGTGTGTGAGCCTGGAGCTGCACCAAAACAAGGAGCAGGGCATCGCTCAGCATACGTGGTCAGTAATATGCAACTCACCCTTCCATTCTCTCCGAGGGACACTCAGTGTAGATTAATGTAATACTTTTTTATTCTATTCTGTAGCCATCAATAGCAGACATATTACACATTGGCTGGTGGGCCACTGCTGCTGCCTGGTAAGTCAAAATTGTAGTTTTATTGGTATTGAGAGAAAAGTGTTGTGAAATAGTAAAGAATGTGATGGAAAGATGGACATGTAGATAATTATTATGGGAACTAGTTTTTTTCATTTCCTACAGCACATATTGGTAATATTCATAAGTACTTTTTCTTAATGATCACTGTAAAACCGTTACAGTTATTCAGCTTTTTATATGAAAACAGTATTATGCTCAGGCACACTTCAGCCTTTTCAGGGGCTTCTTTTATCTTTGGAACTGTTGAAACTCTTGTCATTTGTATTTTTTGTTTATATTATACTCAATCCTTACATTTTAGGCATATTGATCTATAAAAAGTTACTATTTATTGCCTTCATTATGCAAGTTAAATGTCTTCATCCGTCAAATTCATGACATGATGACTTATCTTTCTACCTCTTCATTTTTCTTACAAAGGCTGGCATCATTTTAGAAGCATCATGTTCCTGAAATGGATCTAATTCTTTTCACTGGTTCTACCCTTCCTCCCTCCTTCCCCTTACCTATATCCTGCCATCTATGAAAAGAAGACATTTAAACTGCTTATTGAGGCACTGTGGAAAGTCTGGAAGATCAAATTTGTCATTGTTTGGGTCTGATCAGTCAAGTAACTAATCCTCCTGTTGTGTCTGGGTCCATTCTCTCCCTCCCTCCCTCCCTCTCTCTCTTGTATCATTACCCTACTGTATTGTATAAGTTTTATTCCACGTATATTAATCTATAACGTTCACTTGATGTGGCTTTCCCAGCGAAAATTAAATGATTATGCCATTTTATTAAAATAGCAAAGATGTTAGATTAAAAATCCAATTTATTCTAAAAAAACTGTGAAAAAGGGTGCTTTCTGTTCTGACAATGACATTTGTATATGAATTTACATAGGTTTTCTGAAGCTCATAGTCATCGTGAAATACTTGATTGTCTTTATGCTATTTTCTGGCCAGAACCTTCCCTCTCCTCAACCTCTCCCCCAACTTTTGTTTCAACTAAACTCAGTTCCAGATGAGTTTTTACTAATATTTGGCTCAATTGTCATTTATTGTAAAACTGATATATAGGGCATGCCATATGCCCTATATATAATACGTATATTGTATTTCATGAATGCCACATGATGTATTTACAAATATGTTCTATATTGTAAAGTAAATAGTTCGTAAACCCATGGTACAAAGTCATTTTTGTTTAGGGTTTTTTTTTTTTCCTACCACAGAGCTTTAATAACTAAAATAAGGAGAAAATCTTGAGTGTGAAAACTGCGCACCAGAATGACGACATTCTCCCTCTTAGAGTTAACACTTCTGCTGGCTCTGATTTTGTATTAGGTGTCTTGACACATATGTGTCCCTCACTGGGTCCTGAACACATCTGACTTCATGAATTCTTTTACAGAAGGGAATTGACAATGTCTTGCATAATTTAAGAAATACTTATATAAAAATGTTCAACTTTCTATTAGCAAACTCTCAACTTTTTCCAAAAAGATGAAAAAGAAACGTGTTTGTGTACATGCCAAAATACTCTGGTTTTTGTTAATCTATGAAGGAAAATATCAATACTTTTTCATATTTAAAATTCAGGTCTATTCTACAGCAGTTTCTCTTGAGTTTGACCTTTCCACGACTTCTTGAGGCAGGTATGTAAATGCTCAGATACTGTCATAATAATTAACATTTTCTTTTTGGATGCTCCGAGTTCAAAACTCAGAAAGTGCGTGTGTGTGTGTGAGAGAGAGAGATCGTCCATTTAACACTTTTGTAGGTTGAAATCTCTTTGTCAGAACTTTCCTACTGCCTTAGAAACATTCCTAGGTCACATTGGCCTCTGTTTTGCAGCTGTATTCAAACTCAAATGTATTCAAATTCATTTATTCTATTGATAGTTATTGGGCATCTTTAAGGGCTGCCACTACGCCACACGCCACACGGAGTAAACAAGCCAGTTGAGGTGCCTGCCCTCATACATTTGTTTTGCTCTGTGAGAAATGAAAGCTCTGGGAGACCGACTGAAGTGTCCCCTCATGGTGATGGTCTTTATTTTCCCCACAGTTGAGATGGAAGATGATGACTTCACAGCCTCTCTATCAAAGCAGAGCTGCATTACCGAACAAACCCAGTATTTCTTCGATAACGATAGTAAATCATACAGCGGTGTATTAGACTGTGGAAACTGTTCCAGGTAATTTGTTTCTTCATTTCTGGACTAGTCCTGTTTGACTAAGAAATTGTATCCACTTTTTTTTTTTTTTTTTTTTTTTTTTTTTTTCTTGCGTTATGCGGGCCTCTCACTGTTGTGGCCTCTCCCATTTGCGGAGCACAGGCTCCGGACGCGCAGGCTCAGTGGCCATGGCTCACGGGCCCAGCCGCTCCGCGGCATGTGGGATCTTCCCGAAACGGGGCACGGACCCGCGTCTCCTGCATCGGCAGGCGGACTCTCAAGCACTGCGCCACCAGGGAAGCCCTGTATCCACTTTTTTAATCGTCACAGAAAATAACGGAGGTTGTCTTTTGAGTGTGAGAGATCTGAATAACTGCTTTAAGTTGAACATAATCAGAGCTCTTCAGTTTCTCTGAAGGTTTTTAAAATTAATTCTAACTCTGATAAGTTGTAATCCCTTCGATGGTAATAATTACGTGATCAAAAAAATTATACCCACTTTTAGGCAGAACATAGAGGAATTTGATTGTATTGTATTTTGTCTAGAAGAATCCATATTAAAATTGTTCTAATGTCGAGATAGTTTCAGAGATTATTTTCTCTGATAAGATTAGAATTAATTATATTTACTAAACAGATTAACAAAAATATTCTTGGCTAGTAAGTTTTACTTGTAGTCTTCACTTAAATTTAGAATTGAATGTATCTTTGAGTTGAAACTGAAAGAACTAGGAGAACATATCATTTCCTAAAATCAAGCTTAATGTTAGTCATCACCACCCATAAAACATCTTGAAAACATTTTGGAAGAGATGGAGAGGTTTAATTTTGTTGTAATGAGAGAGAGAAAGGCAAGGTGGGAGATTTTTGAAGTTTTGAAAGGAAAGGGATAATCCATGTCACAGGATCCCTGAGAATGGAGCAGAAAGGCAGAGTTGGGACACTTTGTTTTCAGTAGCTGAGGACAGCTTGTTCTAGAAGAAATGTTAACAGAGAGAAGAGGAAAGATGAGGAGGTGAGGTAATCTGAGCAGCTGACAGGGATGGAATAGGTAGTTGCTAGGCGATTTGGAAAAGAAGTCTATAACAGTTAAAAATATACGTATTTTCAGGAGGGGGTTAACTGAAACTAGCACAGATTTTTAATAGACATGGTCAGTATGATTTTATGACTTACTTTATTAAACCTGTATATCCTAGGAGGAGGAAGAGGAAAGGGGCAGAGTAAGGCATGTACTCAGAAAAAAGCAGACCGTCTTGTTTCAAGATTAGTATATCAGGACATCACCTTCAGGAAACAGAACTGTGGCATGTTTAATGGGTACATCAGAAAGAGTTTAGAGTCTTTGGGCTGTCATTGATTGATGTTCAGTAATCGCAATATATACTTTAAAACATGAATAAGTTAAGGGCTTCCCTGGTGGCGCAGTGGTTGAGAGTCCGCCTGCTGATGCAGGGGACACGGGTTCGTGCCCCAGTCTGGGAAGATCCCACATGCCGTGGAGCGGCTGGGCCCGTGAGCCATGGCCGCTGAGCCTGCACGTCCGGAGCCTGTGCTCCGCAGTGGGAGAGGCCACAACAGTGAGAAGCCCGCGTATCGCAAAAAAGAAAAAAAATGACTAAGTTAAACTGTAAAGATCATTATAAGACATTAAGTTAAATCATGCTTACATTTGTGCTGTGTAACTTTATGCTGTGTCCCAACTTCAATAGGTTAAAATAAAAAATCCCATTCTTTGAAAAATAAATTACTCTTTAATGACAGATCTACATTTTTATTGTGGAAGGTAGAAGCAGCTTAAGATGTGGAAAAAAACACTGCATGGAATTCAAAGCCCATAATTCTGTCTATGCCTGTGTTGTCCCAACTCAGTAGTGACCAGCCACAGGTGGCAATTTTAATCATCAGTGGCATTAATTAATATTACAATTTTGTGCCTCAGTCACGCTAGTCACCACTTCAGGTGCTCAAGAGCCTCATGTGGCAATTGTTTACCATGCTGGTTAAAGCGGAAGACGTTTCTGTCTTCACAGAAAGTTTGTTGAACTGATCCAGACTTTAGTCTGCCATGACTTGGGGAAATGCTGAGCCATTTTTGTGCTCCTACTTTCCTTTACTGTAAAATAAGGCAACTTGGGCACATTTTCAGTGATAGATACCACAATTCCCTAAATATGTAAAATGAAACAACTAGATGGTGTTTATTTTGCATTGAGGACTATCACTTAAGAAACAAAGGTCACACTTAAAACATCTGTTGGAATTTTTTTAGTATTCATTTGAGAGATAGCATGTCCATGTTAATCAAACATGGTAATCTTTCTCTTCTAAAATCATTCAGTGTTACTGTTCGTGTAGGTGATGCTTTGTTTCAGAGGTCCTATTTTCTTTCATTTTAATATGGAAAAATCTTTGAAATCTATTATTTTCTCATGATAATTTTTTCTGATTTTTAAAAATATTTATTTTACAGAATCTTCCACGTAGAAAAACTTATGAACACCAACTTAATATTCATAATGGTTGAGAGCAAAGGGACTTGTCCCTGTGACACGCGATTGCTCATACAAGCAGAACAGACTTGTATCCTTTGACACTGGAGAGGTTTGGAATGCAAAACCATCTTAAAGCTGTACATTTTTAACCTCTTCACGTTGTTCGTGCCCAGAAAGAAAAATATCACAGAGTGCTGAGATCCACAGAGGCAGAATGGACCCTCCACACAAAATTTCATTTGGATGTCAAGACTGATGTTGCTATACCTGCACCAAGAGGATGTGAAAGGCTTCATACTGGTACCGTGAGTCTTTGTGGAGAGAGCAGTGCAGGTTCCCAAGTAGCCCTGAAAATGGCTAGAGAGAGCAGGGAGAAGTACCTGGCTCGGGGTTTTATGGTGGTTGGGGACCATTCTGGGCTTTTGCCAGTGCTGCCTGGGGCTTGTTGGCCCAAACTTCCAGGCAGTGCCAAAGGAGGGGACACTCAGTCTTCCCTGTCAGCTCGCCCACGTGTGGGACAGAAGGGAAAAGGGATTGTTGTGGCTTGAAAGCTGTCAACAGCCAGTAATCAAAAATGGAGTTGAATGTGGTCTATACCTACAATGGAATACTATTCAGCCTTAAAAAAAGAAGGTAAATGCTGTTGTATGCTAGAACTGCCATGGCAGTAATGCTAAAAAGACTTCGGGTAGCAAATATGCTAAAAGACAGTGAAATGACTATTGAAGCATTGCAAGCAGAGGTTCGGTAGACTGCCTCTAGTTTTTGCTGTTTCTGGAAAAAAAAATAGTCCTCACCTATGTTTGGAACTGATGTTTATTACTAGGAATTAGTTTCTATTTCTGTCTTGCTAAATAGGAGGCACCCAGGCCCTCCCTTATGGTCTTACGTGTATGACCCCGTCTTATATGCTACGTCATTTGCACATTTCATCCACTTGTATTGTACAAATATTTACTGAGTACTTCCTCTGTGCCAGCAACCATGCTGTGTAAAGCGTTGATCTCTTCACACAGGCCCTAGACAGGAGAAAATTTGTGGCAGTTCAGTACTTTAAATCCCATAGTACTTGAACTGGTTGTGTGGGGCCAGAATAATGGCATCGGTTTCTCTGGCTTGCTTTGAGAAATAAGTGCGTTGCATTGTATTTTTTTAATTGTGTAAAAAAAAAAAGTAACTTCATATTCCTTAACAAGTTTCTTTAGCTGATGGTCCAGATCCTTGTGATATGGTGAAGCAACCCAGATACAGAAAAGGACCTGATGTCTGCTTTGATAACAATGCCTTGGTAAGTAAGACCAAATATTTGCTGTATTAAAATATATAACTCAATGGTCACAATAATTTAAGGAGACAAATTGTAGTTTTAACTCCAGTGTAATGTCTTAACCATAACCATAGTGTTTCTCATTAACATGACATACTTGCTGGTATATAGATTTTTTATTTCAGTATTTTTCATGGTTAGCATAAGCTTAACAGTTGCCTCTTCTGTCCTTTCCACAGAAATTGTACTTTCAAACACAATGCCGACCAATTTACTAACAATCCAAGATCACAAATCTGATGATTTTAAAACTTTCTAATGACCAGTAACTGACAGTAAACATTACTAATGGTATATGAGTTGCCCACCTTCATTTATATTCCAATCCTGAAGATGTAACAGTTATTTTTATTATAACATTTTCTGTGTTTAGTCTTCATTCAGTGTATTTAATCACTATCGTCCCCTTAGTTTGTAATTGTACTTTACATGGTTTCTAATTCTGCCACCTATTAGTTTGTATTATTTCTCTTAATTGTATTACTTTTTATATTGTTTGAAACCTGGCCAGGTCAATAACACAGGGGTAAGTTGGTATAATTTTACAAAGCATATTTAATGTATGTAATTTAAGATGACTACTACTTTTCCTATAGGTCAGCTGTCTTTCTCTCATAAACACTATTTGGACTTACTGTGTATAGAAGCAGCTTTATGCTTTTCAAATTATTTTAATTTTTAAGAAGCTTTACTCTCAAGCATAAAGCCCATATAAAAATTTCTCACCACTTATAAATTTTAAAATTAATATTTCTCAGTTCTCCAGTCTGTCATGTCTCTTTGCATAAAGTGGCTTGCAAACATAAAGCGTTATCATCTGGGGAACTGTTTATTCTAAAAACATGTCAGATCATTTATCGATTAATGTACATTTCTAGAGGTGGTTGTTTATTTAGAACAGATTTACCTAATATGTACTTATTTACTCAAATACACATAGCCACATTTGTTCCAAAAAAGAATAAGGCATTTCCATAGATGCATAACATGCAAGTAGATAATATAAAGTGGAGCAAAGAAGAAATAAAATCAGTGATGGGGAATAAGGCTAAAAAAGCAAAATGTTTTAGCCAATAAATCCCAGTTATCTCTGTAAGGACTATTATTGATCATTCCTCTCTGAGGGGAAAAGTGATTCAAAGTTGCAGCTACTTGATTTTTTTTCATTTTACAGCGAGCGTTAAATGAAATCCAGATATGAGGAGTTCTGTTGTTCTGTCTACTGTATACCTTCAGGAGCTTTGGCCACGTCAAATCATTCCCCAAAGAGTGTTGTTTGTGGGCCCAAGGGTAGTATCACTCCTTAGGGAAACTTCCCTCATCTATTATTTGTCACCAAAGACTGAGATTAAATTTACTCAGATGCACTTGAAAGATCATATAAAAACCATTACCCCCAATATTTTCACCATAGGTAACTATCTTTTTGATCAAGGCATAATGCAAATTTTACAAAGACAAAAATTTTCCAATACTCGTTCCTATAAATTATACAGTGGAGTGTGTGTGAAAGTACAACTTTTGCTCAGTAGCTTAATGTGCTAATAATGTTTTGTGTTTTTTTGGCAGTGGAATATTTTGGTAATGCTTATTTGCAATGGTCACTGTGAATCTGCTCTGGATGGAGGCTCACATAAACTGCTAACTGCCAGCAAATTGCATGAAATCTCATCTTGTATGTCTTCTGTGTTTTCCTTCCTTTTCCTGTACTTGCTACTTTGCCCGTTATTAATAGGATCAACTTATATGCACAACGAGTCGTGCCTGTACCATGATGTCAGCTCCTATCTTCATTTTACTGCAAGTTTTCATGTGGTGTGGATGGTCAGTCACTTTCTCTAATTTTTCTTTGTTTTTGCGTTTGGCTTGAAATTTTAAAAAGTAATCCATATCCCTAAATCCACTATAATAAATGTCCTGAAACCAGGTTATTAAAATGCCAGTAGTAATATTGTTTTGAGAATAGCAGCTTTCAAATGTTACATAAGTTTCTAATCCTGAACAGAGCATATCAGTTTCCTGTATTTATTTAAAAATCAATAATTTCTCATAAGCTTTTGTATAAAGATTAAGTCAGTGTGGAGAAAAAAACTTTTATATGCTTCACAATGTCTTAAAAGAAATACCCTAAGGACAATTATTAGAGTTGGTCATCAATTTTGTTTCAGAAGATGCTAATACAAAATTAGTGATGTTTCAATTTTATTAAGCATTATTCGGTACCTTCTAAGCTCATTATCTAATTTTCCTTTCTAAACAGATATGGTTTAAACAGCGTTTTTAGATTTTTTTAGATATTGATATTCTTAGTGAAGTGCTTTACTATAACTTACATTATCTAGGTGAAGATTATCATTATTTGTTACTCTTTGACAAATTTCTGAATTACATACTCAGTACGACTGAATAGATATTTTAGGTCCTGAGTTTACATTCAGGGTTCCATTTACAGTTTTGCAGTTTCTTTTTTGATGGTCTGGAATCATGATTGTTGTAACTAGACCACTTTTGTTGTATTCCTTCTTCATTGCTGTCCAGGTATTCATTGGTTAGGAAACCACTAGATGGAGATGTGGCCATTACTATAAATGCAGGGAGCTCATCAGAGGAGGGGAAAGTGGAGAAGCAGAGGGAGTGTCAGAAAAAACTAAATTTGTTCTGGGATAATAAAATAATGGTTTTGAAGATTTAAGTGTTAAAGAAAAACAAAGCTAAAGTTTATCAAAGAAGAAAGTAAAGCAAGCCAATAACATGTACTCTTGAGGAAGTTCATTATCTTCTGCAACCATAACTGATAAATGCATGTTACTGGGTACATGAAAAATGAATATCCAGAATAAATGTGTGTATAGGTATGTATAAATATACGTACATTAAACCTACCTCATGAATTAATGTGGTAAGTGTGTTAAGGCTCTCTGTAGGAAACTATTTGTTAGGGCTCTTATTCCGATTAAAAGAGTTACGTGTAGTATCTACCTGCCTAAATAATTTGAAATATGCATTTTCTTTGAAGCTGCTGTGGGTGACGTAAGTATAGACCTATCTGAATTCAAAAGTTAGCTATTATTTGGTGGATGTTCTTACCAGTGATTTGAACTCTTACTGTTTGCAATTAGTCACCCCAGGTTCTGGTTGGGGAAAGAAAGGGAGAGTAAGGGTTTAGTAATACTTGTCTAAGAGAAAAATGAAGAGGATTTTACTCACTAGCATACCTGGTTTTAAAAAGTAAGCCTTGGGGTGAAATCATGAATATAACTATGGTTTAGACATCTTTTTCTTTTAATTAGTAATGGGAAAGAAAAAAAGAATGAGGGGTTCTTAGTTGATATCTTTACTAAGAGTATTTTAAAAGAGATCCCTAGAAGGAAATCAAATAAAATTACTCATATTTTAGAATTACTCATTTAAAATTATTTAATTTTAAAATTTTTAAATTATTCATATTTTAAAACATATGTATATAATGTTGGCACTGTATCCCTTTACTATTTTAAGCTGAAACTAGCTACCAATCTGTTATTATTATCTACTACAATAATCTTTATACTACAATAATCTTTAAAAATCAGAGTGATTTTTCTGGTCGTGGTGTTAGGAAAAAATGCTGAGGTTTCTCCCACATCTATGCATTTAGAATGATTTAGAATATTTTTAGAATGTATCTCATAATTTACTTCCATATAATAATTACAAGTCTTGGTAGATGTGGTTGCCCATGCAAAACACATGAGAAAACATGATCAGGAAACTGAAGGGACAGATTTTTCAGTGTGAATCTACATGCAGACTTCTGAACTACCACCTCCCAGACTGAAACAGACATATCTCATCATCACACAGAGGAAATGAACCCCCCACACACACACAAAAAAAAAACCCACTAGAAATATAAAAATAAAAACAGTGGAAGCAGAGCCAGAGAGAATATTTTTCTTTCCATAACATTTCTAGAACATAAGGATGTATTTGACGTTAATACATCAGTGGGTCTTGTATGTGTGCTAATTTTCCATTCCATCAAATTAATACTTAACTAGAACTGGGGAGCTCTCCTGGTGAAGTGACAATTAAGCCTTTAAGTTAGTATTTTACGTTTACAGTGTTTCTAACCAATCAGTATATGCAGTGCTTCATTGGAGTACACACTACTCATTTATCGAGTACTTACAGTACACCTACTATGTATCAGGCCATTCTTCTGTGCATGAGATATTTAAGATGCATTTATACTAAAATATAATTTTTTTATCTCAAGTTCATATGTAACTCAGCACCCTGTTTTTTTACCTGGTTAACCTACCTAAAGGGAAAGGTATTTGAACAAAGAGAAGAGGAAGTGCAGAAGTCCTGAGATAGTAATACCTTGACCTGTTGCAGAGAAAGTTAGCGTTATCGAAGCCGTGTGAGTGGTGAGGGGAGGGGGAGGAATATAGGATGAAGATGGAGAAGCAGCCAGGCTGCAGACCACCTAAGGCTTTCTAGGCCTTCATAAGAAATTTGGATTTTGTTATGAGAAATTTCAAGAAGAGCATGAAAGGATTTGATTTACGGTTTTAAGAAGACTGCTTTTTGCAGAAAAAGTTGTTACAGGGCAAGAGTAGAAGCCGAGAGAGAGGTGAGGCAGCTTTTGCAGGAGTGTAGGCAAGAAGCAATGGTAATTTGGACATGATATGTTAAGTAGTAAGTTTGGGGCTATATTTTGAAGCTAGAGTTAAGAGGACAAGCTGATAGATTAGATTTGAGGGAAAAAAGGAGGAATCACAGATGACTTGTTGTCTTTGACCTGATCCATTACTCCTAGAAGTGTCATTCAGAAAAATAATATTTGGGGACAAGTTTGAGATCTTTCTGCGGATCTGAAGGAGAGGTGACAGTGATCAATGAATGTGGAGGTCAGCGGAACTTTCAGGGCTGAAGATATAAAGTGTGAGTTATTGAGGTTCTGGTCCAAGATGGCA